TCAAGTCGGACAATATTGACTATACCCCACAGCAATGCTGAATGCAAAAAGGTGTTTTCTGTAGTAAAAAAAAAAAAATAGGACTCAATTCCGCTCATCGATCTCTGATGAGACTCTCAAAAAAACTTTTAATAATTAAGTCTAAAGATGAAATACTTTGTTTTGAAAGAGACTTTACGAAAGAGTTTTTAGTAAAAGGTGCTAAAGCATCTTTGCAGAAATTTTTTTTGTTGATGTAATTCTTTTTCCGTAATTTCTATTGAGTTTATCTATAGTGCGTACTATTATAGTGTAATTAAACTAATGTTAATATAAGTCTTAAAATATTATATATTTCCCTTTAATCAAGAATATTAGTAATTAGTATGCAGTTACGAATCTTCTGCATTTTTAAAACTAGAGGTTGGCAGCTATGGATCCTATTAACACCTTTCCCCTGGGATGCTGCAAAAAAGTGCCAGTGTACTCCTAATGTTTTGTGATTTTTCACCAAAATCAAATTAGAAAATAAATAGCACTGTTTAAATTTAGGGCTGAGTTTTTACCAGTGAAATCCATGAGATAAACCAGGAAAATACTATTCTATATTTATTTACTGATATAAAAGGTTTTTTATTTATAAGTGTTAGGAATATATATTATTTACATATTTAAGCTAGGTAATAATAAAAATTATTAGATAATATATATTTTGCATATAATATGTATATGAGCAAATAACAAACTATAACACAAGTGATATGATGTAAGCTTTCTCCAAAGTTGTAATTATAAAACTAATTTTGTGCACAAACAGTTGAGGCTAATCTTCTCACTATTAAAGACTTAGAAAACTGGTAAATGTATTAGATTTTCAATATGAGCTGATAACCATTAATTACAAATATTAAAATCATATTAACAAATTACATTATTTTAAACCATAACTTTATTACCAATGCATTTGTATACAGATAATCACTGAATAAGCAGAAAGCTCAAATAAACAGAGCTTAGGAATATTGAAATTCAATATAATTTTATTTTTTAAAAATTTACACTAGGGATTTATCTTACTGATCTTTTGTCATTTAAAATTAGATTAGGATTAAAAAAATTACCTACTTCACTTTATGTGAGATCAAAATAATCATTTGTTCAAATGAATTAAAAGTATAAGCAAATAATTTCTTATGTATGAAGATATGAAAAATCAGACGAACAAAAATTAATATCAATTATTAGAAATAAAGATAAAAATGTTATCAAATTTAAAACCAGACCACTGACAATGTCTTAATCTACAAAGGTTTTATTTTGGCCAAAAGTTAGATTAATTTTTAAATTGATACTTGATTCAAAAAGCGTACATCGCGATTCAGATTCACGCGATTGAGAAATCCAATATCGTGGTTTTTATTTACCACATAAGTTTAAATTCCAATGTCTGTGTCACAATTTGTATACGCATGTTTTTAATATCAAGCATCGATTTTTTGATTTATGCGATATTTTGTTTTAAAAGATACGTATTGCGACTTCCTTCACGCGATCTAGTTTTGGGTGATTAAAAATTAAATTTACGTAGTTAAAACAATTTTATTTAATATACCATCTTTTTATTATAGTTTTGTACGAGTCATTTTGTTAGAGCTACATAAATAAATTTAATTGAAAGTTTCAGTAAATCAAATAAAAATGAACTATGAAGTCCACTAATAGCGGATATCACCATTTTATAGCTAAATTTTAACTTACCCATTTTACTACATACGAGCAGTTATCTTGTTCTATAGAAAATAACATTGTTGTTTTGCATTAATATTATAATACCCGACTGGAAAATTTAATCAAATTTTGTCAGCTACTCGAAACCAACCGGATAAAAATAATCAGGGAAAAATAGATATGTAATTTCATTTTACTTTTTCTTAAAAAAATATTTACGTTAATTGACTATATTAAACCAGTTCTTATGGTTATAAAAAAATAAATGAATGTTATTAATAAGTTGAATTAAGGACAAAAAATTAGGACTATGTGATTTTGCTTATGGAATTCACAAAAATTCCATAAGAGGAAGAAACATTTGAAAATACTCAAGGGTAGAAAAATTTTTGTTCTAAAGAGCATTTCTGACAAAAGTTAAGTTCTTTTTTATCTCAGATCATGCATTTTTTTTACATCCCAAGTCCTGCCCCCCCCCCCCCC